CCCCAAAACCCCAAAACCCCAAAACCCCATGAGGCATGATAAAAGATATATTTTGCTTAGAGATTGTCAGCGAACAAATTAAATAGATGAAAATAGATTTGCCATGATATAATAAAAGTTATTAGTTGCAATAGTAAATACTATTTTAAAGATCCTAAAATTTAAATTCGTATGACAGACCGGGCACAAAGTTCAGAATCATCGTTTATATCCTCTAATTATCAAACTTCAGATACTTAGCAGAAAAATGCTTTAAATCCTAAAGTAAGATAATCTCCAAATGATAATTGTGAAAGTAGAATTAGCAGAATGCACAGTCAGGTAATAATCAATACTACAACCAGACCAATGACCAGGACAGTATTGCTAAAAAATCTGAGCTTTATTCAGTTAAGAATAGAAATGAGAATTTAATCAAAGAAAAATTAAGATAAGGTGACGTAATAAACGCAGCAGATTAAGATGCTTACGACCCAAAGTAAAAGTCAGTTGATTTGAAAGTACGTCTCCCATCAGAAGAAGAGACTCCTCACGAAAAAGAAGGATTTATCGGTGGAGTTGATGATGCTGCTCCATTTTAAAAAGACAAATACTTGTAGAGGGGATACCGTGTCGGATTTAAGAACAAGAGAAGCCTTGCTAAGACTTTCTTCTGGGTTCATAATGAATCAGTCAATGTTTGGACTCACACAATAGGAGTTGCCATATTTGTTTTTCTGATCTATAATACAGTTATGAACCTTGCCCCACCTAACATCTATAACAATTCCTAAGGAGTACAGACTAAGCCCTGGACCGCTAACATTTAAGACATTATTTCTCAATTGCAATCAGGGTTGGCATAGTAGATTTAAGTTTCAAACTTAAATGATAAGTAGAATTATGAGGAGTTGCAAAATCAATCAAAAAGTGACGAGACTAGTACTTAAATTAGTTCAAGTACTTAGAATTAGCAAGAGAAATAAGAAAGTGCAATTGAATTAAAACATGACAATAAATTGAAAATCAAAATTCAGATCGATCCAGTTGCATAAATCACTAATGCTCTTCATTAACCATTTTTCGAAGAAATTCAGAAGCAACACTTGTACGGAGCTCTAACAATGATAGAGATCTTGGAACACTATGTTAACTATGTTTTATAAATAATCTCAAACCCTCAAAACTATATCCAGTAATATTATTAAAACTTTCCTTAATTCTAATGTTTTAGGTGTATCAATACTCTTAAGACCTTTGCTTAAGTTCTAGATAAAATCCACTCATCACTCGATTCTTAAGTAAATCATGCCATTAGTAAAATCAAGGGAGATGAGATTAATCCTGAACTAATAATTCCAAAGGTAAATTTATTTAACCATAACTTTTTCCTTCAGATCGGGCATATCTCAAAGCTAACCTAACTTTTGAAGATAAAGGTAAACAAATGGCAAGAAGAGATCACAGCGATCAAAGATGATTCATAATTTAATTGGGAAGAAATCAAACCAATAGTCACCTAGCCTGAAAAGTTCTTGAACTATGTCACCAGAGGTAAATTTTAAATTATTTTAAACAAGGGAGCGCTAAATTTACTTGTAGTCCCTCTATTCATTTTTATGGCTAGCGCGATAGTATGTATGGGATGTTCAGCCTTCTATCACTTATTCAAAGATGTATCGCCATTGACTAAGAAACTTCTGCAGAGAATGGACTACTGTGGAATAAGTCTTTTGATTGCAGGCAGCAACACTCCTCCCATTTACTATTCCTTCTATTGCGATGAGGTCCACTGTAAGCAACCAAAAAATATTCTTAATTTTATGTCTAATTTAAAATCTTTTCATAGTCTGGAGAAATTGCTATTTGGGTTTGATGTACGGCTCCTGCTGGGCTGGCTTCATCTTACTTTTGGTTCCAAAGTTTGACCAAAACAAGTACAGAAAGTGGAGAGCAGCCTCCTTTGTCTTTGCTGGCTTGATGTCTTGTGTCCCAGCTGTCCATGCCATGAACCTTGACCCCAAATACGTTGTGGATTTCAATGAGTGGAAGTGGGCAATCGGGGGTGCCATCTACATCTTTGGGGCAGGCCTTTACGCCTCCAAATTCCCAGAGAAGTGGTATCCAGGCAAATTCGACATATTCGTAATTCTCACTTTTTATCTTGTTTTATCTTATTTATAGGGCTCATCTCATTAATTATTCCATGTGCTTATTGTCACTGCTGCTCTTGTTCATTATAAAGGAGCCATTGAAAATTTCCATTTAAGACAGTTGTCTACTTGCCCAGTAGACTATCATTAAAGTTTCTGAGCAGTATTAAGCTGAGGTCTCACTTACGTTGATGCTCAGAGAAGAACTAACTAATTAATAGATACTTCCAAGAATTAGGAATATTGTATCTCTAATGAACATACTTAATCATCATTCTTTATTAATCAATCACTACTCTCTATTCTATCTTATTTTTACATGCTGGGGTTTTGGGGTTTTGGGGTTTTGGGGTTTTGGGG